TTAAACTGCGCCAAACGTTCGTTCTTACAATTCTTCTTCCTTTAAAATAGAAACTTAGATTAAAACAAAAATTGATAGATTCAAGAAAAAAATAATTTATAATCATAATTTCTTTTTCCACAATGTTACTACTTGTTATGTGATAAGGGACAGACTAAAAATCAGCGCTTACCAAGTCTTGCTGAGCATAAGCTGAGTTCGATGCCTTTTAACACAAAGTTAAATATTTTTTCATTCATTTAATTGTAAGTTGTCTTTTAAATAAAACACTTTAACGGTTTAAAGCGCGATATGTTAGTTAAACGGCCCGACGTTTCGAATGCTTTGCAGCAGCCGTGGTCACGGGGAGACAACGGCTCGAAGTTAAAGATCATTTTTCAAATAAGTTTAACTAATAACTATAGACTATAAGTTGTCTTTTTTTATTATTTATTTTAGTGTAGATAACGTACGTTGTAAACGGATTATTTATTAATTTAAGTAAAACATTAATCACATATAAGGTTTAACTTTTAATCATTTCAGTCTTTCGTATAGCAAAGGACCTCTAAAAATAAACACGAAACTGACCGGGAGTAGATGTATTTACAAGTTACATACGGCACATAGCGATAATTCTGTTAGCAGTTACGATGCAGCTGAAAACGGATACTGGCAGTCATTCAGTTAAGGACAGAAAATCAGTTTAATCAAACCCAGAACACTGTTCAAATCGACGAAAATGGTATATTGGAAAACTTTATTATCATAATATGATGGCATATTATAGATTTAAAATCAATTCATTTTAAATAATAACGACGCAGTCAGGACTTTCACTGGCATCCATAGCGTTCCGTCCTAATGCTCTAACCAACGGTACAGACTTAACAGCCATGTATATGTTGTAATTTTTTTTTTATATAAAACAATTTCCACACCATAATATCGTTATATTGCAGTGAAGTCAATCTACAACTGAAACGGTTTACTCCCTTATGTAATAATCTATAAAAAATAACTATAAAAGTCTTATTTTCTCTTTTATGGGGTTTGGAGACTCATTTATTTCATTTCATTGACAAATTGAAACATTTTTTCTTAATTTTACTGGAACTCGAACCCAGGAGACACTTAAACTATGCAATGCGATCTAAAACACAAGCCAAGGGTATTACAAAAATAAATCCCATGTGATATATTTATTACGTAATATCTACGTATCAATGAATTTTTTACGCACCATTGTGAAAACGTGTTACAATCCCAAGGATTGAAATGTCGCAGTGCCCAAGTATGTACTCTTGTTTTTGATGTCGAAAGAAAATAACGAATCTTAGTTTAATATTTTCGGTAAAGGTCTCGCTTCTTGCGTCTGTGTTGGTATAAACGAAAGTAACTCTGTCTGTCTGTCTTTTGCTCTTTCACGCCAAAACTACTGAACGAATTTGAATAAAATTTGGTACACAGATGTTCTAGACCCTGAAAAAGGACATAGGCTATATATACTTTTTATTGCGAAAAGGGGATTGTAAGGGGTTAAGAGAGGGGTGAAAGTTTGTATGGAAATTCGTGGTTTTTGAAGCTAGAACAATGAAACTTTCTTCATTGGCTTTTTGGGAATAGGAGTGGGAGTGGCAGTGAGTGTGAGAGTGTTGCGGCAAAGTAGCTCTTACAACATAGATTGGCTACGATAAATGCGCAATTACATAAATTAATAAATGCCTAAATAATTAAAAATTCTACCGCAAGTCACTATTCCACGCGAACGGAGTCGCGGGCACAGCTAGTAGTTTATAATCTGTGGTACGGCTTAATTTAAATAAGCCCTATCGTGTATTTACATGTAAATAGAATAACTTTCTTTTATTTCACTCAGACTTTCTACAACTCAACTAACCCTCATCTAGTTCCCATACCCGAATACTTTTCTATTCTTTCCCTATAGAAACGTCATTCTAACGTCTTACCCTCTTTACAATATATTTAGTATGTTGCCAGTTTTCCATTTTTATCCGCATCTGTCTGCCTCGTAAATATAAATGAGCGCTTATTATGTTATTTATGACGTAAATGGCACTAGGAATTTGATATCGTGCGATACACGATAATCTCATTTTAGTATTTTGAAAGATTACGTAAAGCTTTTTGGTGTTGAGTTCTATAAAAATGGTATTACCAAAAGGGGGGGGGGGAAAAAATTTTTTAAAAAAAGGAAAAAAAATTCAAATTAAATTGTAAATATCAAATAAGAAATCCGCTGAATTATTAAAAGACAAAGGAGATTAAAAATTACAATCTAATAAATCTTTATCGAATAAGTCTACTGTTACTATTAAAAATATGCGCGCTTAATTTTCAAAACACATACTTAATAGCATTACAATTAATGATACAAATGCCACAAGTCATTGCAAAAATAAAAATAACAAAATATGTTTCCGCCCGGGATCGAACCGGGGGCCTTCTGCGTGTTAGGCAGATGTGATAACCGCTACACCACGGAAACGTTAGCAATATTGCTGGATTTAATCAACTATATATTTTTTAAAGCATAATCGTTTTCTTATTTTAAAAATATTATGTAAATCAAGGCCAGTATTGGTCTTACACATTTTTTGCTTAACTCAATTCAAGCGGACTTACATTATTTTGACACTAATGATATACGACTAAGAAATTTAAATTAATAAAATATTTATAACCATGAAAGGAAATTTTAATTATTATTATAAAATATTTTAACACTTTCATTTTATAATTATTATTTATTATATAAATATAGTCATAAATATTATTCTTAAAATATGTACCTAAAAGTACTGTAATAATATGTCCATTGTCTTAGCCGCTTTGTCGACTGCGTTTCTAGGTAAGGCATTACGATTTTGTAAGGCGTTCATTGTCTTATTATCCCGTCTTAGAATCCTTACACAAAATCCTTTTGTAGTGCCGATACTAGTTATTGATAAAATGTATTAAAGAGCTTACAAGAGAAGCGAAACCTAGGTATAATAACGTTTTACAGTAAGTAATAAGATTATAGAAGTTAGTCGGTCATATAAGTTAATAGTTACAATAATGGATCCTAAATTGAAGCCCCTTCTAAAAATAACTTCGCTCAGAGGCCTATAATAACTACTCAGAAGTTTGAAACAATTGGTCACTGTATATCTAACTATGAAATGTAAGTTATCCCTTTTCTCCTACTTATAAATAACATAGGGTGACCAATGAGTTCAATCATAGAATAAGCAGGATTTTTTTAAGCTCGGCTTTTTAGAGTTTTTCAAAGGATTAAAAGAGGTAACTAATAATTACTAAACTTTAATTAGGTGCATCTAATTAGATAAGTGATAGTCCAGAACTCCGTAAAACTTAAATTAGATTAGAAAATTAAATTAACTTAGTCTTAAACTAAGAAATGAATATATTTCAATTGAATTAGTATTTATTCTCTTTAGTTTTTTGTAGCATTTGCAGAATGCAGGATATAAATTAACTTTACCGACTAACTAAAAAAAAAAAACCCCCCCCGCTATATATCTAAACAATATTTTTTGTTTTGACTGAAACCGAAAGACGATTAAACTCCACGGCTTTTTTTATCTGTAGACTGTTCGGTTCGTCACCCGGACGACATTTCGATATTCCTATCACCCATTTAATACTCAGATTTCAATTTCTGAACATGTGTCAGAAAAATTATAAATTGATGAAAACGTTTTGGACCCGGTGGGGATCGAAGCTACGACGATTTGATTATTTCGCCTTACATTGCTACTATTACACCAAAGAGCAACGAGCAATTTTATGTAACGACAAAAATATGATCCAGTATCATTTTAAAACATTGTTGACGGCATTCGAATGTCAAGCTTAAACTACGGTGCATACACGCCACATCCAGGGAAATATGTAACAGATGGTCACACCAAACTAGTCAGGTCCATGAACTTACTCCAGGTTTACCTGCATTGGAATCCGGGGAAACTTGTTCTGACTCATACGTAAGAGGCTTACAGTTGCGTGTATCCAAACAGCTCTTATGTTAATAGCAATAAAGCTTAAAATCGCGTGATAATCGATTGATGGAGTGCATTTAGTTTTAGCTTGGGAAACAATTAGTATCTTTGTCAATATTTTATTGTAGTATGTAGGTTCAGTCTGTGTTCGACAATCGTTAAGGTGTCATGTGTGTTTTGTGTTCCCGGTTTCTTTTGAGGCGTTTGTTTTAGATCTTTTAAGAACAGGTACTTTTTTATTCTATACATTAACATAGTGTTATAATTAAGTAACTTAGATAATGTGAAGAATTAAATATACCATTACAATATAATTATTAATTAAAAGTATGTACTTCATGTTTTGTAATAATTATTATCACTTTTCATAATTTAATTATAGGTTATATAATTATAATATAATTGTTATTATCTATAAATTTTACAATTATATAGTTTTACAATTTCTATTTTATTTTATTGTTATATTATTGTAAATAAACTTGAACATTAAGTAATATGAAAATAAAAATATTATCCAAAGGTCCTGAATGAAATAATTTATGAATGTTGACTAAATTCGAGGAACTCTGTCGTTTAATATATAGCGGTTACTTATCAAAACAGCTGTTAAAAGGTCACCTGCTCTGTCTTCAAGATACGAACAATAATGTTATTGTACGATGGCTAATATAAACGACTTTGACATCCATGTTGTCCGAATGGAGGACTAGACTTTCTTGTATAAATAGGATTGTCTATAGATATTCCATATTTAGTTTATAAACAATACTAGAAACAGACTGAATCATTTTCATAGGTCGAATCACATGATTAGTGAAGCATAGTTTTGTTATTGTTGCCATCATTGAGCATATATAAGAGATAATTATACACTTCAGAATCACCATTTAACTTCATGACTGAAAACTAATTTACATTTCAATAATCTAAACTTGATACTTAACGATTTATTAATATTATCCTCCTTTTTTATTACAGATCTACAGCGTGAAAATGACGTCCAGTACAAGTAAAGAGAACTTGTTGCAGCCCTCTACGCTTCAGGAAGCCATTAACGTAATCAAGTTCCTAACCTCTTCCCATAAACAAGAAATAACGAAGTTAAAAGAGGCTCATATAAAACAAGCCGAGACAATTAAAAAGCTCGAAGACAATAGAAAGAAAGAATTAGAGTTTTTATCAAAAGAACTAGAAAATTATGAATTAAACTTAGCTATAAGGACGGAAGCAGTAAACAAACAATTAGCTCAAAAAGATGAAATTATAAAAAAGCAACAAAATATTATAGAAGATTTAACAAATAAAATCAAAGTTAAAGAAGCACTGAGTATACCGGAAATCTCAATAAGCGTAGAATCGAATTCTGACTCCGGAGTTGCTTTGGATGTTGAAGACACTATATCAAAGTCAAAGGATGGAAAAGGTGCTGCAAAAGCGACGCGAAAAGGAAGCCGCCGGTTCGCAGACTCTATTAGCTTCTTGCGTAGGGTTGACTTTTCACCCATGAAGTATAAACCTAGTAATCGCGAGGGGACTAAAAAGAAAGATGAAAAAAAGAAAACTCTCGATGTACCCAGAACGGAATCAAGGGTTCTCATCCGACAATTAAGCTCAGAAAAGGCTAGTGATGAAGATAGACACTTATCGGAAGATATAGATTCGATTCTGTCCGATGATACAATGAACACTTCATTAATTATAAGACCAAAGAAACTAGATGAAAGTATGAATAATCATTTCTCAGACGATGGAAGTGAAGACACCAGTGAAGAACTATTCGACCGGGTCATGGTGAGAAGCAGCGTCAGAAGATCAGTCAAAGCAAATCCGAAGTACAAAAAGATAAATCGAACGAAATCGAAACTACTCGAACAAGTGAAAATTAATATTGTAGATTAAAACGCTGATTATATTGTAATTTCGACTTCGACTATTTATTTTAACGTATTTATTTTGCTCTCACTTCAATTTAATTGGATCGGGATTGCATTAAACGACATTTATGTGAACGATTCTTGTTTTATTTTCATTCGGTACCGTTATGTTGATGATAACATACTTCATTCGGATGTTCCCACGAAACCAGTTCGGATCTCAGAAAAAACTTAAGCTGAGCGTTTATAATGATGAGTGTAATTATATGTTTTACTATAGGATAAAATAAGACGACCAAGGAATTGTTATTCGTAGCAACAGACTCATGTGTCTTGTATAATTAGGAAGCTGTTTAACATAATTGGAAAAAAATATAGCATAAATGTAAATTCGAATATTAATATCTATGTTAGTCAATTTAAATATTAACTACTGAAACTACATACACGTTTATTGAACTTATCAACATTAAGATCAAGAAGCATTACTTGGTTTCAACTTGAAATGTAATATCTCGGGGAATGTTTTTAACAGCTGCACATGTCTCTTAACAATAAAAAGTGTTCGGGCACAACAATTTTTTACATAAAAAAAAAAAATTAATTTTATCTGAGAAATTCGAAAATAACACTAGTAGGTTCAAGGTATGTATTTTTTATAATCTTGATATATTCTTTAACGCTTTTGACTTTCAAGGTTTTCTTATGTTATTTAGAGTTATGAATGTACCTACTTTTTAAGACAGAGGAGACAGACAAGCAAGAACGGATCACCTGAACCTGAAGCCTGAAATCCATCCATACAATACTGTCTATAGTTTACGCGAGTAGTACTCATTTAAATAAAACACTTTTACGATTTAAAACGCGATATATTAGTTAAACTTATTTGAAAATGATTTTTAACTTCTCCCCGACGTTTCGGATGCTTTGCAGCAACCGTGGTCACGGGGAGTCTCCCATCTCCAAATCCATCCATACACTTGTAGGCAAAAGGCAGCTTTAACGATATATCAATATTATTTCCATACATTACATGGTTTTCAACAAAATATGTTTTAGATAATATTTGAAATTATTTAAAACACCTTGAAAACCCTGTGGGAATCGCTTGAACACGATTCAACTAACGAGCTTATCAAACTTTCTTTATTCGTATGTTTTTTGACATGATGATAGCACAGGGTTCACTTGTTGGTAGGTGAAATACCCCAGCCATATAATATATAAAGCAGATGCGCTACCGACCTATTTTGGCTTTGGATATTCGGAAATACACAGACTGAAAGCGAAACGCGATTAAATTTGACGGCTTTTTCAACAGTGTTCGTAAGCCGAACGGAATTTCAAAATTCCTACGACCCATTCACTCTCCAGATTTACAGACGAAGTCCAACATTATAAAGTGTTTTTAAAAATATTGGACCCGGTGGGGATCGTGCCCACGACCCAGCAGTAATACAATCGCTACCACTACACCAACGAGCTCGTCAAATCAAGTAAGGCAAGTCCGTATGTTGTATTTTATTGTTTTGTTAATTTAAACTGACATAAAACGCAATGAAACATTACTGGTTCCAAAATGCCAAATTAACCTTGCGCTTAACGAAAATAAACTTTGAAGCACATCTTGGAATTTTATCTCATTAGTGCAATATTGCATCTGTTCACGTTAACTTGCTCTTAAGCCCTTTACATCAGTACGAACCCAAGCTAGGCTGGCATTTTTAAATTTTTCAATTGCTGCTTGCAACTGACTAATGAGAGAAAATGTAACTTTATTTTCAACCGGGAAAACAGTGTATTTTTAAATACTAGCAACATTGCACACGGGAACAGTATTAAGTAACATTTTTCGCTGTTCGTTAAAACTTTTCGCACTTTTAAAGCTATATAGGCGACAAAGTTCAACTAGAATGAATGCGATTCTTTTAATACAACGATTCGCTTATTACGCGCCGACTACTTAAAATAGAAAAAAAAGTTATGGCCTCACACTTTTTATAAAACTCGTGTGCTGGTGTGTTTGATAAGAAATTCGTTATCAGACAATCAGCAGACGAGTGTTAAAACTTTAGTTTCTTTAAATACGGTAACATTAGTTAATGACGTTGCATAATCAATATTCCACTTATTCAATAATTAGAAGTTACTTAAGGACAATAGATATAAGAAATGTTTTATTACTACAAATAATTACTTAGAACCAAAAAAGAAAATCACCAAATGCCATTTATTACTACGAGATATATAAGTACACCAAACTCATATCTGATTTTGATATTATCAGTTGTCCTATAATAAAATAATTAATTAAGGAGTTATTCTCATGTTTAATGATAGTAGGCTAATTTTATTAAAATGACAATTTATCAAATTAAAATATTATATGCGGTTAAGAAAAAAATCGCATCTCAGGAAATATAATGCATACAGATGGCGTTAGCGTAGCAGGTTTTACTTTGACATTAGACACACCCTCCATCTTTAGTCTATCCGTGACCACGGTCGTTGCTAAGCATCCGAAACGTCGGGCCGTAGTTAATATACCATTTTTAATAAGTTTAAGTACTATATTTCGCTTAAAACCGTCAAAGTGTTTTATTTAACCATAATGCACACCGTTAAGATTTTTCTTTCTGACATCGTCCTCTTGTTGGAGTGGTGACTATGTGCTCTGGTAATTTGAGCCTTGGATAAGTACAACTCGACCGTTGGTTTGGCCGAGCATTAGGCATTTACATTAAACATTAAAAAATCGAAAACATAATAAATAGTTTTAGTCTATTAAGCGAAAAAAGATTTAACAGTTAAACCAGTTTGCTATGTTACATAAAAAACTCTTAAATTACGTATGACAATGTAAGGAAAGGTACTTGAAAATAACATACATATTTCCCGAAGCCTTATTTTCTTAAACATCCCGTTCCCTTAACGTTCCCCGCGAGGATATTCAATGTCTTTTGAATACTATTGAAAGTAACGACCATGGAACCGTAAAAATACACTCTGATATGGCAATATAAAGGCATTTTATGTTCATGGAAATATTTCTATCAGTGGAATATTACGTTTATTCTTACAATTCCCGAGATTAAAAGTATATAAAATTTTAGGGACTTACATTGTTATTCTATTGTAAGGGATGATAACTGAAGAGATATAATTATAGATCTTTTTTAAACAGCATTAATCTGAGGCTCAGTTTGTAACAATATCGTGCTGTCTTCAACGAGAATAACACAATAACGTATTTTAACCGTTTTACACGTATGATTACCTCGCGATGTATTAAATAACTCATACATTTGCGTTTGAAACCGTATTTCTAGCAAATACGGTTTCAAACATTTCAACATTTTTAATTTCAGTGACCAATAAACTGGTGCTAATATTATTTAATTTGCACTTAGTAAAAATTAATGGTAATTTCGTTACGAATTATTGTGTTAATGAAATAGCTATTATTAGTGGTCTTTAGAAACATATAACTGTCTCAAATCCTAATTTCAATATTGAGAAAAAATTATCAAGAATTCATTGCTTTAAAATATAAACCCAATTAAATATACCTAGACAGTAAGGTACAGGTATTCTCGCAATAACCATTATTAAGAGTAACTAAATTCTATATCTTAAGCAAGTACAAATATATAAAGTTATTCAATTAGTCGAGACGCATCTGTCGACGTCACCTCAACGAACGAACTTTGGAGATTATAAGAACATTTGAAGGGTACCAAGGACATGGATAGGTGCTCAGAAAGTATTCAGTATTATTTTTATTATGCAGATTATAGTCTGTCTCACTTGCCGAATAATAATCTAAAGTTAACACTTGTTATAATTATGATGTATGTCTAGTTATTACGTGTTATTTTTCCTAACCTTGGATAAGCAACAAACCTACATAATATTTTAAGAAAAATACTAATGTACCAGTTATAAAAATATTTCGATTAATTAAAGAATTTGTACAAGCCTTTATCTACCTATTAAATGAAAACAATTGTCTATCTATCGTGTATGAACAAATATTGTAACTACATAGGACTTACAACTATTGAACAAAGCTTCATTTTTTAAACTGTTCATCCTTTTAAATAAAATACTTAAACGGTTCAACATGAAATATATTAGTAAAACTTATTTGTAAATTATTTTACCTACGTTTCGGATGCTTTACAGCAGAGGTTTTTATTTACTTAAAAAAATATTTCTTCTAGTCACTTGTTTACGCTAATTGGACGATAACCAATACATTTACATGTTGTGATCAATTTATTCATGCGATCGTCTCTTGTAACAAGTTCACAAAGTTAGGGAACGCAAAACTAGAACGAGTTCGCATTGAAAATACAAACTGCGCATACAATAGTATTGTCCCCGAACAACTAATTTCCGCAAGTGAGAACTATGTAGAAGCATTTTCTTCACACATCCGCGACTCCAATGGCGCGTGTAATGCACGACCAAAGTTCCGAACAAACTCCCCATAAACTTTTCATTCGGCTTATAAACTTAATACTACATACACAAAACCCATTCTAAACTTACCGTAATACGGATCAATATCGCGTGAACTCTCGCTTTAAACAGCTTTGTATAGAATAAAGTATTGGGAAACTAAGTCGCATCGAATACAATAGACCCAGGATTGTCTTTATCAGATTTTTCTAGAATCTCTGGGCTAAAAAGTATTGTTAAAACGTACTTATGACATAGCGAGGAGAAGAGATCGACATCTAAATGGTTGGTGGGAATATCTTTCTACCAAGATACAAAGATTTCTATCAAGCAAATTGCGTTGCATATCCGCCTCTGTCAAAAACTCATTTTTAAACTCGACATATAAATTTAAACTTTCTACAAAAAAGGTTTAACAAATATTCCAAATTTTCTTTCAGTAAAACAAATACGAATTGCATATTGTTGAACAAAGTGTCACCAAAACGTTATTTATAGCAAGAAATATGGCAACACTGCCATAAAAATAGGACAATTTGTCAGAGATTTGTTAATTTT